GTCAACCTTTTGTGAGAAGACCTCAGCCCTCTTGTTCTCGACGCAAGACCATCCCCACATGTCCTTATTGTTGCTGTTGTTGCGGGTGAACTGAAGGATACCGGCAGCGGCAGCCCACAGGACCGACGAAGCAATAAACCAACCAACGGCGAATAGAGTGTAGTAAACGCCGACTTTCTCTGCTCGGTGGTGGCCTCCTCTGAGATAGCCGATGAAGATGAGAATACAAAGGAAAAGATTGACACCGGAGACCGAAAGAACGACGATCTGGGGCCATAGTTGAGTACCTTCTGCCCATGCAGGCAGGCCACTTTGCGCTGCAAGGGTATGTGTCGTACGGAATACGTTGAAAGAAACCGCAAGCAGGGAGATGATGATCAAGCTACAGCTGAAGCTAATACCGCGAAGGGCGAATTTGGCCATTCTGACCTTATATTTTAGACCCTATAGGGCATTTAGTAAGACAACTTGCATCTCTCTTGCTCATTACAACTTACCACATCCTTCCTTTGCGCTGCTTCGGTGTCCTTTTCTCTGGATTCAAGAATGTCCTCTTCTCTGAAGGTTGGGCTTAGAGGGTTTTCTAGTCTCTTTCCTGGCGTGCCGGGTACTTTCATGGCACTCTTCAGGGGTGATTTTGGTGTCATAGGCATGTTGACTGTTTGTGTCCGGGTATCTTCATTGATGTACCCGAAGCCTACATCGGCTGGCTGGGCTTGTATAACTTGTGACGTGTCATCCCGGCTGCTAAATGGGTTGGTGGTTTGTGGCTCTATGGGAGAGTGTACTGTGGTGGCCTCTGCGAACCTGGGAGTCCTTGGCGGCTTCAGTGAGGATGTGGTGGTAAATGATCCATCTGTTGACGACGACCGTGACGGCGTAAGATTGAGGGCAGAAGGGCGCCTCTTCTCGTCTTGGGAAGCCATTGTGATTGTGTGTAATGTGGTGCGAAGAAGAAAGACAAGAACAATCGCTCGTCCCTGCGAGTCGACTACCAGTACGGTCAGAAGTGCTTCACGAACCAAGCTTACTGATATGTGGTTCAAGAGAGAATGAAGCAATTTTGAGAAGAAAAAAAGAGTATGGAGACCAGCTATCGAGAAAGGGAGTCCTCGAGACCGGAGACGGGAAGAAGGTATAGGTTTTGAATAAGCGCCCTCGGGCTTCCTGGGAGCTCATTCGACCTTCTCTAAGGCTTCTGCGTAGACGGTCGGTGGGGATGGCACACCGCGCACATGCAATGGGATCACTCACAGCGGGACAGGGTTCTCGTGGCACGTCCAAGGGAGAGCGTCTGATAGGGCGGTTAGGATCAACCCCAATCTCGAGTGGGCGAGTCTAGTGCGGGTAGACGCCGTGGGTAACGGGCTGACGCCGCACAATGACTTGATTGAATCGAGACTCTCGAGCTAGCAAATCAGCTCGAGCTTCACGTACCGCTGGGACAAGTCGCAGGTTCCAAAACGCAGGGCACAGGTAGATCAAGGACGACTGAGGTTTCGGTGGTAGGAAGTGAAGCAGGAAAGGCGGTATATTTCGTGAGTGAGGGGAGGAGACCGTACAGCATACTAACTAGGTATTCAGAAGAGTACCGAGAACATCGGCACGCATAGTCCCTGGCATCGCAAGAAATGATACCCGGTGTTCCGTACGTACTCTTACTAAGTAGACCTAGCCAAGAAGCCACCTACTCCCTTCTCGTCCACGGTCCGGACAGGCGATACCTATACGCAGAGGTATTACTGTAGGTATAACTGTAGGTAGACCAACGGTCGCTAGCCTATCACCCGGGGGTACTGCCCACGGAAGGCATATTGAATTTGGCGTTACCGCCCCCATCATGGAATGGTGATTTTCTGATGGAGTCGTGGACGACGGCTGAATGAGTGGTCGAATGGCTCGAGGGCGACAAGGATCCGAGCAGGGGGGCCCCCTCCATACCCTCCCGGCATCGAGCGGAGAGTTGGAGAAACGGCCGTGATTGGTGAAAATCTTGCAGGGGACGAGCGGGGCCGTTGAGCAGGGCGCTTCGCAGGGACGCTAAGCTACCCTGGTCGACGATCCTCGCATCTCATAGGTAGAAACAGTCTGTGTGCTGCACGCAAGTGCGCGAGCATGGACCAATCAGAACAGCCCAAGACGTGATGTCGCCAACCACTTGCATCGATCAGCGCTGTGTGCTCTGAGTCTGGGCGGTAAGGTAGGATAATGGCAGGGAGGTGGCATGGTATCCAGGTACACTACCTAGATATTGTCGGTAAGGGCCTCAATGCGGACAAGCGAACGGCAAGGTCCAGCCTCTCTCATCTCCCCTCCCAAAATCCCGCAAAGACGCCCAATGAGCGATGCATGCTTTTACTGTACCGCACGTTTTGGGCCTTGTATTGATGTGAAAGTGAATACATACCAAAGTTGCATCCTCCGTCTAAATGGCGCCATTATGTGTGTATGGAACAGCCCGTCAACGGACATCTATGCAGTGTATACGGACTAAGGACACGCTCACTGCGACCCGATCGCCTCTGGTGGCCATCATCGTCGGCTGCATGGTCCCTCGACTGGCACGTTGGACAAGTCTTACCTAACCTACCATAGCTAAGGTAATAACATACTAAGTGAGCTCTACGTGTGTATCATCGTTATCTATAAACCGTCTGACACCGAGGCACAACCACACTCTTTCAACATATCTACACACCACAAAGATATTTATAGAACTCATCGGCCATACCTAGTATATGTAGGTAATGTGAAGCTACCTAGATATGTGCTAGCAGTCTTTAGGTCGTAATATTGTGTTGCATCACAGTAGTATACTACTTATTCAAGGCTATACCAACTTCCCACGATCATCGACTTGACCAACTGGGTCTATCTAAGTATCCAAAGATGTCCTTGGGGGTGACGCAGCCGACGATCGTGAGGCCAAAGAGCCTCTTCGCCACCCCGGATTCAATATAGACTTAGCCTTATGCAAATGAGGGTATTCGTAAATCTTGGCATCCCGATCTTCCCGCTCGGGTCGCGGACTCAATCGTGGGGTATAGAGAACCAACTACTACAGTCTAAGATTCTATTAGCTGTCTGTGCTGACTGCGTCGAAGAACAACATTCTTCTTGTGTTTTAACGAAAGTGGTCTAGAAGTGCCGCGAAACATGTGAAGGCTTCTTGACGTAGGGCGATCGATGATATAGGTCGAACCTTGTAGTAGCTACTCGATTATACCCTCCATCTCAGAATTGCCCAAGTTGGTTTATACCTGCGGTCATCATGTGCTGAATCACGAGGGGAGCTGAGAATAGAAACCCAACTCTTTGATACTTTGCTGCGCGTCAATGAGGCTGAGGCACGATCGACTCTTCAACAGACAAAAGTATGTGTGATCGATATGGGGGTTGCGTTACGAGTAATATCTTATGGTCTACATCTCGTCTATATAGGGTCCAGCTCGACGATCAGCAACATATGCACGTACGTATGTATATATTATCAAGACGATACGTAAAAGGTACCGGCAGTGCTTACCGCATAGCACAAGTCATATAGGGGACATGTATATGTGGGCATGCGTTGGGCTTATCTTACATGTCCCGGAAACACTGCTGCGAAGATAGCCGTGTTTCATATATATTATTCCTACAAGTTAACGTTCGGCATTCAGTCTAGGCGGACATTCTCTCGAATATACCTACATCAGAGCCTCAGACGTCAAGAATCATAATAGTCCTCCACCCAGTTCTCCTCCTAGTTGCTTTTGTTTACGTAAGGTAGATGCAGAAGGTAATTCTGAATATAATTGTGTCGATTAGGTATGTAACTTATAAGATAAATAATAATAAAGGAGTAAGAGGTATATAGAGCATGGAACCAATTGAGAAAATGATGAGGAGAGAAAAAAGGAAGAAAAAATGTGTTAAAGTTTTGACCATTGGGGGATTCGAACCCCCCAGGCCTAACGATGCTCTGTAATGATATTTTGTAAAGATACTTCGCTAGACCGCAACCAGCACGGCCGTTATTCTTTACTGGGCTACTACGCTATCTGAGCTTATATACTATGTGACTAGCTTATGGTTGAGGTAGGGTAGATGTAATGAAAGTTTAAAGTGACTAAGGCTGATGCCACCCTAAACTTTGAGAAGAGCCTCGCAAGCGAAACGCATCGTGGGGCAAGCCTCTCTCTTCACTAATGTGCGAATTCGTTCCAGTTAAGATAAGTCAGCCATTAGCTATTAAGGCAGTAGGGAGAAGTGAAGTAAGAAGTATTGGCTGTGTCCTGTATATACCACGCTTTTGTTGTCTTCTCAGTATACCACTTAGGGGTGATCATCGATTAGGTCGGTTAGATAGCACATTGTTAGGGTAAAGTGCTGTTGAAGACAGGTACTTTATAGGTGGTTCGGAGACATGGCCGAGACTGTGTATGCGGTATCCCCTTGACCACCTGCTTTCTTTCTCTGTTCCCAGGTCAAGCTGGAGTTGCCTGTTTAATGCCTAGTAAATCATATGTTCGCGAAATAGTATGGTCGATATAATTCCTGGCTCGCGGGCTAATAGCCCGATGCAAAGTGAAGTCGCCGTATGGTGTAATGCCAGAACTCTGATGGAATCAAGAATCACGGGGCCCGGAGCCTGCGACGATCCTTGAACACCGGACCCGTCTGATTGGGTCGACCTGAGGGTGACCAAGTTGCTACCAGGATAACGCCTGTAAGCCCGATCATTTGCAAGCCAACTGTCATGTCTAGGTGTCGCTCTGTCTCAGATTTATGTCCCAATCAAGCATCATACCGCCATGGGCCACTGTAATATCTTGGACCGAAAAAGTGGCCCGGTTAGTTCCATCGCTCCGTGTTTGGTCGACCACGCGTCCCGGACGGTCCGGGTATCGGCGATCCAGCGCAAACTAAGTCCCCTAACCCATCTCTACCTTAATACTTATTTTACTTAGAAGGTGTTAGGTCATTATCCAACAAGCAACTCATTCACAAACGCGATTGGCCTCGTGGCCCAATGGCAAGGCGTCTGACTACGACAGTCGTATGACTCAGATGAACATTCATCTGGGCCATATTTGATAATCAGGAGATTCTGGGTTCGACCCCCAGCGAGGTCATTTTTGGTCTATTCTCTTCTCGAACTTGACCACTCCGAATTTTTACTTGCCATGTATGTATGTATATTTTCTATTTTGACAGTAGTAAATCAATACGCATAGGCGATTCTATGTCACGTGACATAATTATTCCTTTGTGTTGCATATTTTACATGTTTTGTTTTTGCTTCGTTAGAATCGCCACGAATATCGTATCGTGTGGCACAATAGCTTTAGATATCTGTGGAGGGACCCTTTTCTTTGACTCAAAGATTATACCCAACCTTGAGACTATTGTAACAGCCTGCTATGAGAGAACGAGTAATCTGGATGATGCACAGACATCAAGGACGTGCCACCGCATCTTGGTATGTACGTATTAGGTTATCATTAGATTATATTCGTTTTAGGGTATCCTTCGTTATTTCCTCGTCTTCCGCGCGTGCTTCACCAGGTTTTCTATTACGCCCTCAAACGCCTCTCTGTCGCCGATTTTCTCGTCTGTGCGTTTCTTCCAAAACTCGTGTACTTCGTTTGCCAATACCTCCATTTCCTTTAGCTTCTTCACGTGTTGCTGAAGCTCAATATCTGTCATTCCTCTTAGGGCCTCTTCTGTCGTGGCGCACAGTTGTTTCGCCGCAACTAAATCGAATTCGGGAATTTGAGGAGAGACTTTTCGCTTCTTTGAGCTGGATCTGGGTTTCTCCTTGCCCTGTGAGTCCACCGAGACGGACGATCCGTTAGCATCCGATTTCCGTAGTCGGGACACGGAGCGTGAGTCTGTAGAAGTCCGGAGCGAGCCCGTTGACGTGACTCGGTGAAGGGACGGTAAAACTAGTTTCTTCTGCTTGGACGCGGGGAGAATCTCGTCTAAATCTACAGGCACCCCAAGCGACACTAAGAAAAGTCTCCTGATCCGTGAACGGATCCAGTCAGGAGGTTGAAGAGGAGGTGGCGCAGCCAACTGTGACCATAGGGATGCGCTTCTTGGATTAAAAAATATGGGATTGTCGTTTGGTGGTGAGGGTAGGGGGGCAATATCGAGTACGTCAGGTGGATACAGTGCATCCAAGTAGGGCTGAGAGGTGACCAATATGTCTTCAGTGTCTAGCCCATCAAGATCTAATATTGGCTTTGAGCACATAAAATGTCAGTATATCTGTGATAATGCTATCTAAGGAGGGTACTAAACACACAAAGGAGGGTATAGAGACTTGTGGCTGGTTTGCCCGTGATTGAGCGGCTTCATGTGCTTCGGCCTGCTGAAAGCCGTCATCAAATTCGCCGAAATCCGCATCTTCGTCGCCCTCTTCAAAGTCGTCAAAGTCGTCACCAAAATCGTCGTCATCGTCATTTGTCTCATCGTCGCGAAGACTCGTTACTGATCTGGCTGCTGAAGATTTCCTCCGTCTGTGTGTGGACGGGGATTTCAGAGCTTGATTCACGGCCGTGTCATCTACGAAGGCACGGTCAATCGCAGTGTGGATTTTAAGAGGACTTGGCTGTCGTACCGGTGTCTTGTGTGTTGGCGTCTAGGGAAACTGGAAGAGGGCTGGCCTTGTTAGTGCCGTCCGGCTTCCGAATGATGTCTGGCGCAGCATCTGCTTCATGCATGTGGTCGTGATGGTCGTGGGTCGAGGATCCAGGGACATCATCTGTCTCATCGACGACCGTTTTAGGAACCGTTGCGCTCCTAGACGCGGCATTCTGGCCGGGCGTAGGCGGAGACTGTTCGTCTTGCACAATCGCTATCTCATCAGGCGAGGCGTCCTCCGTCCGCTTGTCGTAGGCTTCGGTACCGGGGACTTCTCCGTAGGAGGGTTCGTCATCTACTTTTTCGACTCGGGTCTTAGGTACGGGAGAAGCGGCCCCAGTACTGTTTCCAGGGGAAGACTGAGCATCAGAATAGTGCTCGTCTGAATCGGAACCTTCTATAGCAACTCATGTTAGATCGTGGGAGGGAGACGTCAGTCGAAGGACGTATGCTAACCTAGCTCGTGCGCACCGGGGTCTTCAGTCCCCGTCCTCTCGGGCGCCTCAAGACTGGTGGAAAGTCTGCGGTCCCTAGACATGTCGGGAGACGTAGTGACTAGATACTAGGTCTTGATATGGTACTGTATTGTACGCTTGCGATCAAGACTCGAGAGGTGGTCGAGATATAGGCCGGTATTAGGGTTGAATGCTCAAGCGAGGTAACATAGGGCGGTTGAGGGGTAGAGTAGCTGAGTCGCAGGTCGGCGGGCAGAGGCAAAGAATACTGTGTCCAAGTAGGCGGTAGCCAATGGATTGGGGCGTAGAGCAGCTTGGAAGGAGATGGGCCGAGTGTTGGGGGTTGATGTTAATTGACGCTGATGGCAAGTAGGAACCTGTTCCGAAAGAAACCTAAATTAATAGGACTCTGTCTGACTACTCTGCTCCCTTGAGGGTAATGCTTAGGATCGGGAGTGCGGTTAGGGGATCGGAAACATTGGATAGGTATCGGACGATGAAGCTGGAGGAGCACGCTCAGTCCAATGTACAGTAGGTTACAGGTATAGGAGAGGTGCAGCAGGCAGGCATGGCTACCTCTGAATTGATCGACCTACAGCATACATAAACGGTCTAGACCGCTCGGGACAATTCTATAACCTAATGGGAAAGCTCCATAGACTAAGCCCAGGTATACATATTTACAGAGGTACTACATACCGTGTGTAAACGTACTTTGATTACTGTGCATAATCAATTGGTAGTTGCCATGTGTGAGGAGATATAGTGCCGTTTATCCATTAGACACTGTCTATTGGTCTTGCTGTGGCTCAAGCTTCAGACCCTCGAGACAGCTGTCCATCACCTGGTTCAAAAGATCCAGCTGCCTGTAGCGGCGCGTAGCGTAGCAGCTTGCTGATGAGCTTTCGCGTAAAAAGTTGGCCGTGCCTGATGTAGGTAGGTGTCGGTAGTGTAGATATTTTCTATCTAGATTGCTCAAAGTGACGGAGGTGCTGGACAACCCAAGAGTCCTAACTGCATTCTCGCCTCATCCATCGACTGTGTACCTTGCGGATCAACTGCTCTTTACCGTTCCTTTCCCGCCCGCCTCCACCTACGAAGTGAGACGCCCTTTCATTCACCGACCACCTCCGTCTAACCAAGCCTATCGATTTCCTTCGCCTGTGGCCTGGGCATGTTTGCCTTCCTGTCCTTCAGGGCCGCCGACTGAACTCTCAACATCCCTCCTTCACACATATAGCCAACCGCCTCCGCGACCGAGCTAGCTGCACTCCAGCGGAACGAGAAGCAGCACCACCACACAATGTCTCTGTTCGGCCCATCCAGCTCTTCGGGGCAATCCAACAACAATGCAACCACCTCCAGCGCGCCTGCGAGCGGTGGATTGTTTGGGTCGTCGACAACTCCTGCCGCAGCCTCGTCGGGTGGCCTTTTCGGCAATCAAGCGAAAAGCGTCCCTACATTCTCCTTCGGAAATGCGGCCGGTGGTGGTAACAGTACCACGCCTGCTGCGTTGGGCACCCCGGGCGGTAGTTTGTTTGGAAGCGTAGGCGCGAAGCCGGGCGAACAGAAATCAGTGTTCGGAGCCGCCCCTGCTTCATCTACACCGTCCTTGGGTGGAGGCACTAGCGGCGGTCTTTTTGGAGGCTCATCGCTAACGCCCTCAACCTCAAGCAACAGTGTGTTCGGAAGCAAACCGGCTGCAACATCTGCGGCAACGGGAACGAGTACTAGTATCTTTGGTAGCACGCCATCGGCCCTGAGTACCACTACAGCGAGTACGACACCGACGGCCTCTGCCTTTGCCGGCGGTGGTTTCAAGCAGGATAGCCCTGCGGCTAATCAGGGAGCTGGTGCCAACAAGCCGGGTGGTCTGTTCGCGGGAGGAGGCGGCGGTACCACAGGAGGCTCTCTGTTTGGTAACACAGGCTCTAACACCACGTCCACTACCCAGGCAACACCCGCAAAGCCCGCCTTCTCCCTTAATTCCACAACACCCGCTGGTGCGCCTCCAGCAAACACTTCCAAGCCGCCCGATAGGTTAGCTCTTTTCGGTGCCACCACTGCCGCGCCGAGTACCTCATCCTTGTTCCCCCCTGCTGCGCAAGGCGAAAAGAGGGAGAACCAAACACCCAGCTTGTTTGCCAACGCGGCTAGCTCGCAGCCAAAGCCCGCAACAGCCCAACCAGCAACCACTTCGTTATTCCCCGCTGCTAGTCAGCCTCAGAAACCAGCTGCAGCTACATCTCTCTTTGGCGCCACCAAGCCTACTGAGCCAGCTTCGATGTTCGGTGCAAAGCCAGCGACTACCGAGGGCGGCGGCTCTACGGGCGGCTCGAGCGGTCTTTCACTTTTCCCCCAGCAAGGCCAATCGAAGCCGGCCGAGTCCGCTACTCCCGCAGCCAAGCCTGCTTCTTTGTTTGGGAATGTCGCTGCTTCAGCCCCATCGGGAAGCTCACCATTCCTCAGCGTTGCCGGCGCAGGCGCAGGTCAGACGCCTAGTTCTTTGACACCTGCACCTACCGCGACGCCAGCCCTCTCACTTTTCGGAAATGCAAACAAGCCTGCAGCCGGCGCAACCACCACTGAGCCTCCAAAGCTCCAGTTTGGGAAGCCCGCTACCACTAATGCCACTTCAGAAGCTGCAAAGCCAGCAAGTCTGTTCGGTGCGGCGCCGATATCGAGTGCCGCCCCTTCCACAACCACAACCGCGGCCCCAGCTACCAACACACCTGCTCCTAGCGGTGCCTCTGCCCCTGCCACTACAGCCCCTGCTACTAGTACTACGGCGCCCGCGGCGGGCTCACTCTTTAACAACAGTGCCAAGACAGCACCAGCTGTAGAATCAACCGCACCCAAGCCTGCGGCATCTCAGACTAATAACTTGGGCGCATCAACTAGCGGCCCAACTTCCTCCATGGCCCGCCTAAAGAATAGAACCATGGATGAGATTCTGAACCGCTGGGCTACCGATTTATCTAAATATCAGAAGGAGTTCAAAGAACAGGCTACTCAAGTAGCAGCTTGGGATC